GGGGGGGGGGGGGTGGCACTCGTTTCTCCCATCGCTCGACCCATGATATGGTCCATAAATTCGCTCTTCGATACAGGGCTCCACTTCTCCCATCTCGCACTGACCATCGTCCATCATTTAATATGGGAACACCACCCCTGTGCTCAATGCTGTATACATCATGATCAAACCTACGCGTAAGACGCTTTACCTTCCGGCGTTGACAACAATGCCGAAGGTGCACAGCGCCCCGTACGTTTCTTGAGAGGCCACGCGCAGGCCGTTCGGCAGGGTGGTGGTCAAGGTTTCTGGCCTCTGGGAGCGATCGTTGATTGGGGTAATCGGCACCAGGACGGCAGGCAGGGCGATCGTTGATTGGTCGACGCGGGTGGGGAAATCGGCTCGAGGACTGCAAGTAGGGCGACGGGAAACACAACACGCATGCACAAACCGGTGTCGACGCTTGTTGCTTGTTGCTGTGCGGAAGAATAAACAGGCGCCTATAGATCTCCATCCACCCCCAATCCCTCACTATACAACCAAACCACAAATTCCGTCGGCAGGATGCTCTCAGTGAGCACACACAACTAGGAGTACGACGAGCCACTGCGGTAGCGCCAGGCGGGAGGAGGATTACTACTAGATAAACCAACGAGCAAGGGAGCACATGACGAACACACAACACACCCGTGGCGTGACCTAGACAACACCAACGGATGTCGGCGGTAGAACCGGCGAGAGGGCCTCTGTTGCTTGTGTGTGTGTGTGCGTGTGTTCGTCCCATCTATTCTGGCGCCGGTTTACAGGCCTTTCGGCATATGTGCCTGACGTATCAGCCGGGGGTAAGTTTTTCCCATTCACTTGTTTTTGTTTTGTGCCCCACCTTTCCCCGTGCGGTGCTTGCCGTAGCTTTTATCGTGAGGAGGGTTCAGCCATCCCTTTCCCTCGTCGACCCCGGGAGAAAAACAAATTACCACAAGCGGCACAACACCTCGTATTTCGGGAGGCACCTCCCTCTCTCTCCCTCTCTCTCGCTCACATTTCAGCGCCAGGCGCTCGACTTCGCAATGAATTACTACTACACCCAGTTGGCCTCCAAACCTGTTGAGGCGAGCGGGCAAGGGATTGCTCCCAACGGGGCCACACACCCACACACAATGGAAGGCAACAACCACCAACACCATGTAATCACTGTCGTGCAATAGGTCAACACTAGTTTTTGTAAGTGTAAGAAGACTTGGGGTAGTTTACTCACAGTATATATGTTGAGGCGTGAGGAATGGACTAGAGAATGTTGGCTCTGGGAGCAAGGTTGGGGTTAGTTCTGGTTGAGATATCGTCAAGCAAGTTGACGAAAATTTATGAGACGGAGACTAGAATTGAGAAAGTGTTGGTTTATGGTTGGAAATATGAATTTATGAGCGAATTGCGGCTATTTGAGAGGGAGAGAAAGGAGGGGCTGGAGAGAGAGAGAGAGAGAGAGAGCGGGGGCTGAAAGCATAGGGAAAGGGCGCTGGATAGATGGGCGCACCCACCCTGCTGGTGTCGCACGCCCCCGTGTTCAGCGTTCGACTTCCCTGCTGTTCCCAGCCCAAGAAGGCCAAAGAAACACACTTTCGACCGCAAGCATCTTCGAGGCGGGCGCACACACGGCCGAACAGGCACATCTACACACAAATCCACGCGCGCTAGGCCACCGCCGGCCGATTCCATGTCACTGGCACCGAACGAGGGGCATCGCTGTCGGCGCACCGCTTGCGGTGTGTTTCCCTCATGGCATGAGAGAGGTGAGGGGGTTGAGGGAACCAGCGATGAAGGGAGGGTTGCTCACTCTGGCCATCGGGGAGGTGTCGATGGTGGTGGGGCGGATGAGTTGTCGGCGGGAGGGGAGGGGTCGGCAACAAGGCCGTTGTCAACGAGGGACAACGAAATGACAAAAAGGACCTCAGAAGGAGGTGAAGAAGAGGTCAGGTGGAGGAGTTGAAGTTGGGGCCTTGCGTCAGTCCAGGGCCGAGCTATTCTGAGAATGTACAGCAGACACTCGAGGTTGGGCAAGAGACGAGGGCCGAGGTCTCTGGGGGATACGGTGGGTCGCCTGTGAGCGAGACGGGTGATGTGGGTATCGCGCACGCTTTGGGGGCAAGTGTGGCGCAGGGGGATCGGGGCAGAGACGTGTGGGAAAAACATGTGTCGTCAAGTCGAGGGAGGGGTCTGACGACAGCCTCGGAGGAGGGAAGCAAGACGTTTTACGACGTCGGGGGACGGGGCTAGGTGCCTCAGTGCGGATCGTAAAATGGCAATCGAGGCTATTGGCAATGCCAGGGTTTCAGTTATTGGCGCTGCGCAGTGCTAGGAGTACATAGCTTAGAGTATTAAGCGCGCAGATCTCAACGTGTATTGCGCAGAGACAGGGTTCAAAAGACAGCTGCTGCTCGTCATGTGTTGCGTACGTCAGGTGATATTGAGGACACGACGCTCGCGGAAGAAGATGACAAACGGAAGAGGGGGGCCGGAGCCCAGGCTGAGGAGGATGCCTCGGGGAAAGGGCCTCCACTCCCCATGTTAGACACCAGGTTTTTGAGAGCTCCCACGTCACCTCCAATTGCGAGTACAAAATATCAAGGGTCGCACTCGACTTGTCGCTCTTTCGGCTTCTCGCCCTGGGACCCTCCATCTCCCTTACCCCCTTTTCCCCAAGGCGCTGCCCCCTCCACCATCCTTCTCAGCCTGGGCTTCGGCCCCCCTCTTCCGGTTCTCATCTTCTTCCACGGGCGTCGTGTCCTCAATATCGCCCGACAAACCGAGCTGCAGTTGCAGTTGCTCGTCATGTGTGGCGTTCGTCGGGTGATGTTGAGGACAAGACGCCCGTGGAAGAAGATAACAACCGGAAGAGGGGGGCCGAAGCCCAGGCTGAGAAGGATGGTGGAGGGGGCAGCGCCTTGGGGAAAGGGGGTAAGGGAGATGGTGACGTGGGAGCTCTCAAAAACCTGGTGTCAAACATGGGGGGTGGAGGATAGAAAGAGCCTCAGTCAGGCGCAGAAATAGCATTCCGATGAGCCACTTGTGTCTAATATGCTGGGCGGAGGACAGAAAGAGCCTCAGTCAGACGTAGAAATCGTACTCCGAATGAGCCACTTCCTCCTCGCTTATTCGGAGTTCGACTTCTGCGTCTGACTCAGGCTCTTTCTGTCCTCCATCCCCCGTGTTAGGCACCAGATTCTTGAGAGCTCTCACGTTGCTTCCAAAATACAGGCAAAAGAGAGTTACGTGAGAGACTTCAACAAGAGGCCCGTGCGTTCGAAGCAGCAGACAACAATACGCCGCCTGCCGAAACACGACAGCAAATCTAGCCGAGAGGAAGACGAATCTAGCCAGCTAGTATTAAGAAGCAACTCCGAGACAGGGTCGGGGCCGCCAGTGTTGTCCGGTAATCGCTTTGAGTCATTGGTGGACGGGAGTGAGTATGACCGGTTTTCTCCGCTACCATCGCTGGAACACGCAACTATTATATTCAACCTGTGGCAAGGGGTGGTGGGAGGTTTACTCATAGTCGTGCATGCCGTAGTCGCGACGACCATTGACCCCGCATCCCTACAAAGGCGGGACGGAGCACGCCGGGTTCTCACCGGACCAGCCTCTCACATCACCAAGCGCGAAGCGCCGTGAGATATTCGGCGAGTCGTATGAAGGGTGCGCTGCATCCTGCTAAGAGCGTTCGGCATCTTGTGCTTACTTCCTTGCGTACGGATGACAGCTGTGTATGACTTAATTTATTTTCTGGTGCTTTCACCTCCAGAGACAGTTGTAAGCACTGTGTAACTGCCGCTAGGGTGCTTGACCAATCTAACACAACGTGGACCGATTATCCCCTTTGCGCGGAGTGACGGTTCTCGACCCCGCACAACATGATCTGCTCGACCACCATTCATGGTTACCGCTACAAAAAAAAGGCAAAAGAAAAAGCGGTAACCTGGTTGCCGAGCTCACGAAGTGATCGGCATGTTTTACGACACATGCTAAGCAACGAAAACGCAATCCTGATGGCAATCACCGGGCGGCAAGTGGGGGGGGGGGGGGGGGGGGGGGG